CGCGGTTCTGAGTAGTTATCAGATGCCAAACGTTAGAAGTTTTGTCCTGCAGGACGGCAGTGCCAAACAAAATCATTCTCGAATCGTTCTAGAATGTGAAATAAACCACGCGTTCATTGTTATCCGAACTTTTCGCCGAATCTCAATCGTATCGAATGGATTTGGGACTTCACAGAAAGCAGAATAAACGAGAATTACATTTTGAGATACAAGACATTGACAGAAGCTTTGCGTTGTATTGATGTAGTACAGTCTATATCATTAAAAGCACGATGATAGAGCTAGTGTAGTTGATCGTTGGGTCGTCGAAAATAATCATTCCGATCAGGAAAGCTTCTCCAGAAACAGCTTTCACCGTTGCTTTGCGAAATGTTCTCTCTTTGACGGTACCAGGAATCTATTGTTAAAAGGTGTTCTCTTAGGGAGAAGCGCAAGACAACAAGTTAATATGGTATGTAGACCAGTGCTTCGACGGTTACGTATCGATGCAACCGTTTGGTTCGAGATTAAAAATGTTAGTTGTGCCAATCCTTCTAGCATCTTGTTGAGGTCACATTTATGTGACCTTTTTTTGTCTGCAGCTTCTATTTTGAACAAAGCTTATCCTACTTCACCAATAGTATCCTTGTCGGGCGAGATTGGATTTTGCAACTGCTTCAATCTGTGCTGAAACATCCGGAATACGAAGAGACAAGAGAACAATATTGTTGTTGCGTAGCTGACGGACAAAGTACTGCGGAACTGAAAATAGGAGGCATGAAAATCAACATATCTGGTGGCAAGATGATTATTATCACTTCAGACAACTGTCTATTCCCATGCTACAAAGAGCTAAAGACAACCGGCGAGGTGAATGTAAGCAAGTGAAACGATTGGCAAATCATATCATTAGTTTGCTTATCGCTCACGTTCTGCTTACACTTCACTAGACATTGGATTATAAGTGTCAGAACGGAAGGCTTTGGAAAAGATGGGAATGTTCAGTCTGATGTCCATGCCTCGTTTACTATGTACACTAGTTCCGTCAAAACAGCCAACAGGGTGAAGCTAAGCTTGAATAATCCATTCAGCATGCTTGCGCCTGGCGATCTTGAGCTGACTGTTGAAAATGGTCTAATATGGAATATGAACCTTCCGCCATTTATTAAGGAGTTCTCGCAGTTGAATTAGGTGGCAGTAGTCCGGGGATTAATAATATCAACCCAGCGATATGCACTTTCTTGCGCCGGTTTCAGTTGCTGTTTTTTGGTTGCCCATTTGGGTAAAAAACAATGAAGATTAGAATGTTGACAGCAGATCCAAGCGGCGGATAGCGCATTTACATAGACTGAAGTTACAAGAATAATGAGTAGATGCATGAGCGCTACTGTTTGCGACACCCAGCCATATCTCTCAGTGTCTCTAACCATCGGTGGCCATGACCTCGAGGTCCCCAGCCAGGGAGCCTAACGGGACCCATTTGAGCCAGTCTCCTGGTCAGTGTTTTCACACCAGGTCATACCAGGTCTTAGTTTGATTTTTTTTTCCCAACCGCTACCTGCCTCGGCAAACATTGCTCGCGGTGGCAACCTATCTGGTGACATGCGTAGCACATTTCCCATCCAGCGTAATCTATGGAGATCGATTACCTGTTCCAGTGGACGACCGCGATTACCTAAAACTCTACGCCTAACCTCAGTTTTGCTCGCCCGGTTTCTCCGCCAGACTCGTGCAGTGCGACGCCAACAGCGATGTTTAAACACCGACAATCTAGTTTTATCATGTTCCCGTCATGGCCAAGTCTCTGCACCATAAAGCAGAACTGGCCTAACTGCTACAGCATATACTCTTCCCATCGTTATGGATGGGAGTCGTTTTTTCGAATTTATTTATTTTCTATCTATATTTGTTTGCCTTAGGAAACCTTGAGTGGACCACAACTTCTTCCTCAAAAGTTAACACTGGGTTGACCATTCGGTAGTATTTTCTCAAATGTTTGACGTCGCTGTCCAGTTGGATAGGATCGAGTGTAGCGTCAATTTACTCGTCTACTAAGCGAATGCGATAAAAAAGGAACGGTACTTTTATACTGCTAGCTCCTTTGTAAGAATGCTTCTGCTTCTTTGGTGTCTTTGGCGATGGCTGCTCGTGCGCGGCATTCAGGGACAAGGTCAACACAAGTTGGAAGCCAGTTCTGACTCCAGCTTCGGAGGCCATACACGGCTCTCAGACCCAGATGCACCATTGCTTTTTTATTGTAATAATCATGGCTTAGATAATCCATTGATATTTCAAATATCCTTTGTTTTAAATGAAAACTTCTCTCCTCTCCAGAAAATCAAAGATCTCGAAGAAGCAATGGCTACTACTGGCTCTGGAGTTCCGTCTTCCTTGTCCACAGAAGTCGATGAACGCATTCGTCAATTACAGTCTCGTTTGGAAGAATTGGAATCGGATTTGATCGATAAAGATAATGAGGTATTCGATTACTTGTATCGAGTAGATTTCACTCTTTCTCTCTACTGGCTACACCTGTTCGTTCAACCATCCTGCGTCATATAGAGACCTGTTCTTGGATCATTGTATCCGAATTAGATCAGGCAATTGAATAAGCAATTTAAGTATTCACACTCACACAGTGTGGGGAAAAAAGAAAGTAAAACATCATCCTGTGCGGCAATTTGGCCATGTTGCTAGGTTTTTTCCAGCCTTACATATTGCAAATCTCACGAATCCTAGTAAGACAAAGCAATCGATTCGACGAAACAATGCAATTGCTCATTGTGTGACCCACAAATTTTTCCGGTTAAGCGCATATTGTACACGTTCGATGCGTATTATTATTTACGGTTTGAGCAAATGTGTAACCATCATTCTCTGGCCATTGTGCTATTTAGGTGAGGGAGTTTATCGATCGATTGTATTGTGAGTTCAGGTGGCAAACAGGCAGTTTTCAGTGCAGCCGAATAGGTGGCCGTTATGGAGGTCAACAAGAACGCGGGTGTATGGACAGATAGCGAGGAAGAACACACACAGTATGAGAAAGTGTGACGGGGTGAAAGATAAGTTCACACTAGTAAAGGACAATCTCTTGATCATGAGGGATTATTTGCTAACTGTTGATCAAAACGTTCATCACCTTCCGGACTCTGACGGATAACGATTGTCATCAAAACTCTCTTTCAATTGTTGTCCGGTCAAAGTGCGACCGCCTCCGCAACGGATAGTTAACGACCTTTGGCCTCCTTCAAACGCAACCCTCTGATTGTATGTGAACGATTCGGAATTATTAGTTTCCCCTTCGTGAGTAGTAATCGCAATGGCTCTGTACCAAAGCAGTTCGTACCCTGTAAAAGTTAAGCACTTATTCCCTTGTCTAGTTTTGCTCACCCCAACTTGCTGACCGATGCAACAAGATGCTTCGATGGCATATATGTGTCTTTTGTATGCACTATTCAGTTGCTTGGCACAGTATGACTATTTGTAAAACGAATTCATTCTGTATCCACATGGTACAACGATCTTGCTTTCCTGTTCATGTGGATTAGTGTCGGGTCAAATTTACTTGCTACATCCGAGAATTCGACACTATCATCATGCTCACTGGATTTCAAGACCAGGTTTTAAGAGAGAGAAAAAAATGGTTGAAAAATCCCGAATTTAAGGAGAAAGACCGGCGAAATAAAACTTGTAAACTAAGTGAGTTTTTTGGCTCAGATGTCTGGTCAAACAATTTGTGTGCACTCAATCGGGTGTTTCGACGTTTCCAATTGGTCAAGAATAATGAATATCAGGGGCCATAAAGCTGACAGAGTTTTTGGTAAGTCTCTAGTACATGTTTTCTTTGTCTGTTCTGCGCCTGTTGTGTCTGTGTTCTCCTTTCTGCTCGGGACTTGGAGGTACTATAGTTCTCACTCCGTAATAAATTGAACTAGGAGAGGTCGAAGTCCTATTCCGAACAATTGGTCGAACATTTCAAGAAAACTAGAGGCACAGATGCCGGATCCTGTTCCCCTTTTCCTTCATTCACACACAAATAGATCCAGCTTAGCGGCTGTAGTATTAAATTGGCCGGAAATAAACAAACCATGGGTAATCTTTCCACTTGGAATTGTGGTTTAAACGTGATTCATGCCTACCACGAGTCTCGTCAGATTTGTTTTATTACACACCTTTGCTTGCTTGCTGTTCATTGATGAAAGCCGGTAACCTAAGCCCCGGGACATGGGGTGGCGAACCACATAAGGCTCCGCGAGGTGAGGCGTGGTGTTGAACCGGACGACAACAAATATACATACTACCAAATTTGGGTAGCGGTAGGGGGCTCGAACCTCGAATCATGGGGTCTGAAGCATGCCGGTGACAGTGACTAAACCACTGCGCCACCACCACCCTGTTGACAAACCATTACACTAGTTATACTTCACCATATCAACTAGATGTTAAAAAAATAATAATGAATGAATCATATATCGTGTGTATTCACGCATTCAAATATCGTATGCTCGCTTCCAGAACAATGTGCTCACTTCGACCGTGCACAAACTGCGCACAGAACACGAACAACAATGCATTGTGACCGAGCAGAGAATCCGTGAACTGGAAGAGTCACTCGAGGTTGTTCGGGTACAATTGTCGGGATCACTGAAACAGCTTGACGAACAATCAGACTATTCGGATATTGCTCGAGAGTTGGCATTGTTGCGATCGATCGAATTTCCCGAGGAGTATGACCAGTCGGGACGGGAATTGAACAGATCCTCATCCATCCAGTCGGATGAGAGCGGTGGGAAAAAACCGCCTTTGGAAGTATTGCTAATGAACAAGAACCGACAACTGTTGAA